AGATTAAGATCGACGCCTCTCTCTGTTTCGGGGGGATGCATGCGTCACGACAAGAAGTTCGGTAGACACGCCCTGCGTCTCGGCACAGTGAGTATGGATTGAGCAAGAAGCATTTGTTGCAGCACGGGGAAATCACTACCTGTTGGGCACAAGTATTGGCTTGTAGTTTGGTGCCTAGTCCGTGAAATGGGCTCCAGTCGCTTTCCTGCCATCTATATTCACGCATGCACACGCCCGCCCACACCATAGGATACCCTCCTGCGTTTTTCGCGCCGCCCAACACCGAATTCATTGTGTCGTGCACACACCTATGCGATCACTTCCGAGGTTGCAGACAGTCGTTCCTTTTTAGCATAAGAACTATCTCACGTGTGTTTTGGGGATGGGCGGACCTGAAATGAAAACTGTCACTAACAGTTGTCCGGGAGATCACAAAGTTGGTACAAGCTAACGGCGCGCTTGCACCACCATTTATGTCTGCTGTGAATTCACCTCGTTCAAGAGAAGGCCCGGTGGCGGCAGCAGCGGCAGACAGGTTTCAGGTGGGAAGTAGGCGGGGAAGCAACCGAGAGAGTAGGGAGGACGGTGGTCTTGGTGATGAATCACAGCCTGTGCTATCTGCAAGCAGCTGGTTCTTTCGTGTCACCTACTTTAGCTCTTTTCGAAACCTCCACTACATTCGGAATTATCGTGCCTTGCTTGTTGCAATCCGTTTCATGTTGCACGAAGAAGAGAGGGTGAGGCTAGTGCTGACATCAGAGGTACTTTGCTTTGGCAAGACGCATTTGATGTCGCCCCAAACTGCGAGCCGTGGAGAGCGCGTGAGGTTTGCTCAACTATCGACCCTCGGTAAAGATTGTAACATCGACAGATCAACCCACATTGGAGCCGTGGAGAGCGCGTGAAGTTTGCTCAACTATCGACCCTCGGTATAGATTGTAACATCGACAGATCAACCCACATTGGAGGTGGCTGCTCTTCTCGACACAATCATGGCCAACGTTGTGCACAGGGTGAATCCATTGCGTTCAAGCCGATGCATGTCATGGCAAAGTCCCCCTCGTTTGCTTGGTTACATTGCGGGGTGGCCTCTCTGGGGATAATCTGAGTATCCGAGCTTTATTTCTCCTTAGCATGTAGTATTTCCATCTTTGGTGTGGTCAGATGCTGCAGATGACTGGAGTTTTTCACGGTGTTCATGTCGGTTGAATCAATCCTATGTGTAGCCCCAGGCTCGGCTATTTGAGATTGTGCTCTGCGACATGAACGAGACCCAGTCCTTACAGTGTGTGGATGACTCACTCCAGGCAAGGCCGGGCAAGCGCAAGCTCGGGAGTATGGCCAAGGCCCTCTGCCGGTACAGCGTCTGGACAGCCAGCAGCGGGCAACCCAACCACACTCAAAGGTGAAAATCAGTAGTGCGAGATAGAGGAATTGGAGTGTAGCTATCGCACGGGATGCAGGAATCAACCGCGAGAAATTTTGATCGTAAAGGGTTGAAGTTCTCTTTTGGCTTTATTCGGTAACAATCTGTTTCCCGGTATCTTGTACCCAAGATCTGCTGCCCCGCTGATTGGTCCCCGCAGTGTCGTTTTCGCCACCACGATACACGGCAAGCACAGCCATGTCGAGGGTTGAAAGGGGGCCACACCCGTCTTGCGTCGAGTCTGCAGTACCTACGGTGAGATGAAATCACATGGAGGCCACGAATCTCTCTCAGGCGGCAGCAAGCTGCCGACATCTCGGAACACGAGACGAAATACGCGTTATGGCATCTCGCAACGGTAGTGCTCGTACCCCTCATTGTGTGATATATTCTGTGATACATGCTATGTGTCGCACACCTCGTCATGGGAGTCCGCAGGATAGATGGCGCTCTAGCGTTCGTATTTCATCGAGAGGCTGAAGGGATTTTCGTCCCGCGACAGCTCACATTTATTAGCTGATCAGTCAGCCCGTACACGGTCCACGACCGATAACACTTGCACACTTGCAAGAAACAGGCAAACGAACGGCTCGCGTTTGTTGCGGAGTTTTGTATTCCGTGACTCAAAACCTCACAGATGTTCGGAAGGTGTGTTGTTCAGAATACACGACACCACCGAGTAACCCTGGTGAATCGTGACTCACCCGGGTACTACATTGTCAGCGCGAAAGCGCCTAGATTGTTGGTCGACGCCCGTGTCCTCTCTGCCATATCAACAAAAGCCCGGGGTACATGCCGTGCCGCAGATATTTTGTTGACGATGGTACCCTGAGTGTCTCAGCTACTCCCTGCCCTGAGAGACGACGGAAAATATAACCCTTACATCTGTCTTTTTCTCCCCAGAAATCAACTTCTGCTCTAACCATACGACCCCAACACGCGAGTAATCCAGCTCCCAAAAACATGGTGGCAACCGGAATCCGACACACGCTCCTCTCGTACGGCATTGTGATTGACATGCCGATTGAGACAGATCACGCACACAACATTCAAAATAGGAAATTGTAGGTGACTTGCTTGGGTTCAGTAGGCCTTTGTTCCTGCAGTAGTGTCTGTTGCACATTTTCTTGGTTATGACGTTTGACAAATATCACTGCCAAAACGTGGCAGTCACGGATACGTCTACCACCTCAGCCATTTCCACGCATCCCTTTTCATGATGATTCATTTTGTACTCGTGCGTCTCCCCCGCTTTCTTTCTGTCTTTTTGCGAACATCTACCCGCATGTTATACTTTTGTTGGTGTGTCATCCATGCTGTGCTCGAATACGGAGTGTGTCTCGGGTTTCGGTTGCCATCATTTCGTTGGAGCTGGAAGATTCGTGTATTGATGTCCTGGAACAGAAGGCGATTTCTGGGAAGAATTGGATTGAAGGGTAGTATATTTTTTCCGCAGAGCAGGGAATATTTTAGAGAGTTTGGTTGCCATTTGCAGACAAAACTAGCAGCGGCAGGGGATACACCCGGGCTTGTATGAAGCGGAGGGGGGAAATGGGCGTCGACCAATACGTTAGTCTTAGTTAACGCTGATTACAAGCGCGTATCCGGGGGAGGCGAGTTTTGACCATGTTGATCCTGCTGTATCGTTTACCTATTTTTTCCCGGAGGCCAATGTCAATCCTTCCCCCGTTCCCTCAGAAGACTAGGGCTAATGAAGGCAATCTCCCCCTTCCCAAACGCCAACTGCTGGTAGACGTTTTGTCCCCCTCTCTGTCCCGGCGGGGAAAAATAACCATCGACGCTTCAGGCTGACCCATGGTCCACCCCTGGGTATGGTAATTGGCAATCTCAACATCGTTGAATCATTCATGTCGATCGCCGCATCATGTCACGGCCTCTCTCTAGCTTCGGTTGCCTCCTGTACATTCCGGACGTTCTACGTGGCAGCTGGGAGGTCTATTCGACTGGGACCATCGCGGTGAACAGAATATTTCCTGTACTGAATCCATCACGTACACGGGCAGTTCTGTTTACACGTTTTTGAAGTGAATGGAAATTCGGTCGACTTTGCCCAATGTCCTTACCCATGGCGTTCTAAGTCGATTGGATTTGTTTATAAAATCTCATGCCGTTCTACCCCCTCCACGGTGTTTGTATCTTGACGCCTCGAGATGTATGGTGTTTGGATGTCAGCCCCGCAACAGCGTCATCCAAGCGCCAACGGAATACCTCCCTACCAGAAACAATGGGCGGTGGGACGGCGGCAGCACACACGGCGGTGAGTAATGTGGAAGGCTTATTCCTCTCGCGTTTAATCGCGAATATTTCATGATTATCGGTTGATCAGTGCATGCGTTGCTCGTGCTGGTTTGCCGCGTCAGTCGCTCCTGCTTTCCGACCAGCTGGTGGGTGGTGCCGGTTCGGGATGATTGCTCTCGCGCACCTTATCAGTAGTGCACAGCTGGCGGAATCGAGCACCGGCGAAAGTGCTAAATATCTAGACGCTGAGAGGAAATTGTCATCGCAACTCTAGCAAGTCTACACTCGTGTAGGTTGACCTGCTTCCGACTATCCGTACAACTGCTCTGGAAATATTGGGTTTTGAGGATGTCTGAGGAACGGTAGCGGGAATGCTCGCCGCCGACTTTGCGACGCGCTTTCTCACTGATGGTAGCCGAGAAGCCACACAGGTGTGTTACGAGTGGAGTTGAATATGGGAAGCAAGGCCTCCCGAACTCATCATACTGTCTTTCCAATATACGATGAAAGGTGGAAACCTTCGGTTAGAAACCAAATAGTCGGAGGTAGTGTGAAAGGCGAACGACTGCGCAGCACACTAAGAGTAGCTGACGACGAACATGTTCAGTCAATGGCTTTGTCGATGGCGCCGAGTGAGAGGCAACCAACTAATTTCACCTCGGAATTTCCTTCCATGAAGTTGAGGAACAAGAGCATGGACGTGTCGAAAAGCAGAGGGCACATGGTATTGGTGGTGGAATATCGATGGCTGCTTCTACCCCGGCAACAAGCACATACATTTTGAACAATCTAGAATGGAGGTAAGGAGGTCTTTAGGCGGTGTCGTGTGAGTTAATTAATTTGTCTCAGATTTCTCCCCGATGTCGCTCTCCTCGTTGCTGAGATGCTGACCTGTTTTGCACTCTGGAATGTGGTTTCTGCTCAATCGCGTTTGGCACCGTGCTTTTCAACAGTCATGGCGTACGACCGCCAGACATCAAGGCCGGCGACGGCGATGCTGCAAGGAGCACGGCTGTACAACACACGCATCGTACGGCCAAGCCCATAGCAAGAATGCGCAGTTCTGCTCCCAGCACAAGAAACCAGGGATGACAAACGTGAGAGACAAGAAGTTCGGCCACACAGGTTGCACGAAGAAGCCTTCGTATGGAAATGACGGCAGCAAGAAGGCGGAGTTCTGTGTCCAGCGCGCGCTACAGGGCATGGTTGATGTCGTCAGGAAGAGGTGCGGCCATCCAGGTTGCATGAAGTTGTCTTCATATGGCAAAGACGGCGGCAAGAAGGCGGAGTTCTGTGTCCTGGACGTGCTACAGGGATGGTCGATGTCGTCAGCAAGAGGTGCGGCCATCCAGGTTGCACGAAGAGGCCTTCGTATGGCAATGACGGCAGCAAGAAGGCGGAGCTCTGTGCCCAGCACGCGCTACAGGGCATGGTCAGTGTTGCCAGGAAGAGGTGCGACCATCCAGGTTGCATGAAGAAGCCTTCGTATGGAAAATGCGGCAGCAAGAGGGCGGAGTTCTGTGTCCAGCTCGCGCTACAGCGCATGGTCGATGTCGTCAGCAAGAGGTGCGGCCATCCAGGTTGCATGAAGTTGTCTTCATATGGCAAAGCCGGCAGTAAGAAAGTGGAGTTCTGTGCCCGGCACGCGCTACAGGGCATGGTCAGTGTTGCCAGGTAGAGGTGCGACCACCCAGGTTGCATGAAGAAGCCTTCGTATGGAAAATGCGGCGGCAAGAAGGCGGAGTTCTGTGTCCGGCACGCGCTACAGGGCATGGTCAGTGTTGCCAGGTAGAGGTGCGACCACCCAGGTTGCATGAAGAAGCCTTCGTATGGCAAAGACGGCGGCAAGAAGGCGGAGTTCTGTGTCCGGCACGCGCTACAGGGCATGTTTGATGTCGTCAGCAAGAGGTGCGGCCATCCAGGTTGCACGAAGTTGTCTTCGTATGGCAAAGACGGCGGCAAGAAGGTGGAGTTCTGTGTCCAGCACGCGCTACAGGGCATGGTCGATGCCGTCAGCAAGAGGTGCGGCCATCCAGGTTGCACGAAGAGGCCTTCGTATGGAAAATGCGGCGGCGAGAAGGCGGAGTTCTGTGCCCAGGACGCGCTACAGGGCATGGTCGATGTTGCCAGGAAGAGGTGCGACCATCCAGGTTGCATGAAGAAGCCTGCATATGGAAAATGCGGCAGCAAGAAGGCGGAGTTCTGTGCCCAGCACGCGCTACAGGGCATGGTCGATGTCGTCAGCAAGAGGTGCGGCCATCCAGGTTGCACGAAGCGGCCGTCGTATGGAAATGACGGCAGCAAGAAGGCGGAGTTCTGTGTCCAGCACGCGCTACAGCGCATGGTCGATGTCGTCAGCAAGAGGTGCGGCCATCCAGGTTGCATGAAGTTGTCTTCATATGGCAAAGCCGGCAGTAAGAAAGTGGAGTTTTGTGCCCAGCACGCGCTACAGGGCATTGTCAGTGTTGCCAGGAAGAGGTGCGACCACCCAGGTTGCATGAAGAAGCCTTCGTATGGAAAATGCGGCGGCAAGAAGGCGGAGTTCTGTGTCCGGCACGCGCTACAGGGCATGGTTGATGTCGTCAGCAAGAGGTGCGGCCATCCAGGTTGCACGAAGTTGTCTTCGTATGGCAAAGACGGCGGCAAGAAGGCGGAGTTCTGTGTCCAGCACGGGCTACAGGGCATGGTCGATGTCGTCAGGAAGAGGCGCGGCCATCCAGGTTGCACGAAGAGGCCTTCGTATGGAAAATGCGGCGGCAAGAAGGCGGATTTTTGCTTTCAACACGTGCAGCAGGGCATGGTCAATGTTGCCAGGAAGAGGTGCGGCCATCCAGGTTGCACGAAGAAGCCTTCGTATGGAAAATGCGGCAGCAACAAGGCGGAGTTTTGCTTTCAACACGTGCAGTAGGGCATGGTCAATGTTGTCAGGAAGAGGTGCGGCCATCCAGGTTGCATGAAGGAGCCTTAATATGGAAAAGACAGCATCAAGAAGGCGGAGTTCTGTGCCCAGCACGCACATCAGGACATGGTCAGTGTTCAACAGAAGAGGTGCAGTCATCCAGAGTGCACGAAGAATCCGTCGTATGGAAAAGACGGCAGCAAGAAGGTGGAGTTCTGCGTCCAGCACGCACATCAGGACATGGTCAATGTTGTCCGCAAGCGGTGCGGCCATCCAGAGTGCATGAAGTTGTCTTCATATGGCAAAGACGACAGCAAGACGGCGGAGTTCTGTGCCCGGCACGCGCAACAGGGAATGGTCGATGTTGATAATAAAAGGTGCTGCCATTCAGGTTGCACGAAACGTCCGTCGTTTGGAAAAGACGGCAGCAAGATGGCGGAGGTCTACCGGCAGCACGTGCAACAGGGCATGGTCGATGTTGTGAGCAAGAGGTGCGACCATCCAGGTTGCACGAAGCGGCGGTCGTATGGAAAAAACGGCAGCAAGAATGCGGAGTTCTGTGTCCAGCACAGCGACGGGGGAATGATGAATGTCCGACGTGCTAAACTCCAGTAGTAGCACTAAGACGTACTGCCGCACGTGTGGTCTCGTACCGTTCCGGACGGTCGTTGGTAGGTTGACCCCGCTACGTACGCGCTAGATACATGGTTTGGCAAAGGGAAATTTTGACGCATGTCGCCGGCCTGTCTTGACCAACACCGTCTTCCACGCGCATGGCGCGTGAGTGCATGTTTTTTTTCCTTTCGTTTCGTCGGCCTGTGCACGCTGTGCATGGAGGTAGGGATTGCACAAGGCGTACATATTACCGTCGTGTTCCTGGGATCATTTTTGGGCAGGGGTACGGTGACAAGGATACTCTGGGATCTCGGGCTGAGTGCGAATGTAGATTCTGTACGGATTGGGCGATGCGATCAAAGTGAAAAGTTACATAACATGAGGATGAAATCATATGCCAGAGGGGCAACGTGGCCGGAGCACGCCCACTATTGTCGTTCCTGGAGACGGGTGGGTATCTGTCTTCCCATTTTATCGGTGCGCAGGATCCGGCGGTATGGAGACTCGCTTGCTGGTGAAAAGCCAGTCAGCTCGCGTTCATTGGTTTCAGATGGCCGCGAGCTGGCTGGGTTTTCACCAGCAAGCGGGTCCCCGCCTCGACCGATCGTGGTTGCCAATGGAGTGGGAACATAGGTGCCCGCCCGGGACGAACGTGTTCCTGGCACGGAAACGGAGGCGCGGGTGCCACCCGGCCGGTAGCATTGCTGTGAAGGGCGCTCATCGGGTCGATTCACGTGAGACCAGGTATGATGCAGCAATATTTCTTTTCCCCGCGTCGGGTAATTTGTGTTTTTTTCTCTGGTCGTTCCAAAAGCATTTACGCACAAAACACATTCTGAAGCTCTAGCTTATCATGACCAATATCCGTAGAAGTTTCAATCGACTCCTCCACACCTTGCACGACATGGCCTGAAATGCTGATCTCGAGCTACACTGGAAATCTCGCGGTGTCTCAGGCATGGTTCGGTGGAGAATCGCAGATCGTCACCCCTCCCCGAGTTTGAGGGGCTTCCGCCTCCTGTGGCCGACAAGAGTGTGCAGTATGCAGGTCGCCCTGATCAGGCGCAGAACGTGAGCAGCCCTTACACTGCCCGACGTCTATGCCGCTCTGAACTACCCATCAATGTAGTAAATAGGCGCTGTAGACTTCCACCGACATTCGGTGACGTGGTCGAAACGTGGTCCACGAAGGCACCGGGAAGGCTCCTGGGGGGGGAGGGGCAACGGCATGCGAGAAAAGAACGGGCGATGGTCGTAGTCAGAGTGAATCGACCAGGATAAATGGTGAACTTTTAATACGACTTCCGTCCTTTCTTTCGCCTATCGATTCAATGTTACGACCTCCGTCGGCTATTATCTCGCATGACGTCCCCCCTTGTCACTTCACTCCCCAGGGAGCCTTCCTGGAGCAGTCCTTGCTCAAGCTTCGAGCGCTTCGCTCAACGTGAGGACATTTTATAACGCCCATCTACTACGTACATTGAAGGGTTTTGAGTATGGCCCAGACATCGCACGCGAACATTGAGATGCGAATATACTATCTATGCGGCATGTAGGCGTTTCGCGGTATATCTTATCGGTGTATACTCCGGCGCACACGCATGAAAGAACAGTGTAATGCAAAACCTTCAATGGAGGCCGCCGCCTCTCATGTCGCCCTGATACGCGGGTATCTGATACGTGGGTATCTGGCAAGCTCGCGTGACGTCACCGTATGTCGGGGATCACACGGATGGCTCCTTTCTGCCCTTGATGAATGTGCATGTCGTCCTTCTCTGATATGCTGTTGATCCATAACACGCCTCTACCGGAGCCGACCGCGGCAGCCGTCACCGAAAGGCTGGCGAGGGCGCCGATGCTGAGCCCGTCATGGCCCCGACTCCCGAGCCCGCCTCTCATGGCGAGGACCAGTCCGAATTATACCTGTGGACCATCGCCACAATTCCAACGAAGGGCACCAGATTGAAAACGAGGACCATCATCACCAGTATATCCAAGGACCATCGTCACAGTTGAATCCTACAAGCTGGTTCACGCAAGAAACCCAAAATTTGTTCCCCAACTGATAACGAACGCAATTACTCACCAATCAACACATTTCATATACCACAGTGATCCCCACGCTTAGCCTAAGAGAGTGGCATACCTGGACTGACAACACCTTTCTACGGTGGTCGGGCGCAATACTGTGTCTTGGCCAATCAAAGGCCTTCATGCTGTTCGAGAATCAAGAGCTCAAAATACTGATGCAACACGACGTTCTTCGACCGGAGTTCAACGCCAAATGACCTTCCAGCTCTTGCAACCCAACAATAAAAGCAGAAGTGAAAACGGCCACCGTTGCAGCGAGTTACACCCCAAAAGGTGGGATTTCCGGTGTGATGGCTCTTCGGCGTCGTCAGATGGCCACCGGTTGTACGGAGCAACCGCCCAGAAAGCAAAACGGTTTCCGTCGTATATATTTGAGGAAAGCTTGGATCGTCCCCAAATTTGGCAGCTCGACAGGCATTGATGCTACAAATCTGAAACAACATTCTTGAACACTATTCACGAAGTTCTCCCGCTCGTACCGGCATACTGGGGTCTAACGGATACGACCCCGGAAGCCGGTATATGTATCTCAAATAAAAATCAGATTCGGTCGGCTCCGGTGTAGGGTGTTGAAGGATTGTACAAAGTTTCGTTACCCAAGGGGCGAGACTGAGGTAGAACGGTCGTAAAGCTGTGTCAAAAAGCTCATTTTAGTCCAAATCCAAGTAAATAAGGGGTTCGCAGAGGAAGCTTCAGGTTCTTGGTACAAAAACAAAAAACTTCGTTCGGGTTTTTTGAGATAGGTCACCAAAATTGCACACATGTCCCCAAGGTACGTAGTTACCAAACTTTAGGAATGGGGTTTTTCTAGAAACAAATTATTCGCCGAATATTCAGGGTCCAGCACAGCCTTTCTGTCCCAGAAACGTGCAGGACCCCGGGTATTCCGTGCAAATAACACAAAATCGAAAAGCCCCACTCGTGAAAAGTTTGGGAACTACCTCGGGGACAACTGTGCATCCTTTGGTGACCTATCTCAAAAACCCGAACGAAGGATTTGCGGGGAACATTTTTTTTTCTTGCGTGAACCAGCTTGTAGGACCATCATCACAATTGAAGATGAGAACCATCGCCACGATTATAACCGCGGACCATCGTCACAGTTCAAGACGAGAGCGGCCATCACAATTATACCCTAGGACCATAGTCACAATTAAAACGAAGGGCACCAGGTTGAAACCGAGGACCATCATCACCATTTCAACAGAGGGGCCATCATTGAAGACGAGGACCATCTTCATAATTCAGACCGAGAACAATCGTCACAGTTGAAGCCGAGGACCATCGTCACAATTAAGCCGAGGACCACCGTCAAAATTGAAACCGAGGACCTTCATCATATTTGAAACCGAGGGTCATCGTGACAATTGAAGACGAGGACCATCATCCCAACTCAAACCGAGAACCATCGTCAAAATTGAAACCGAGGACGTTCATCACATTTGAATGCGAGGACCGCAGTCACAATTCAAGAAGAGGACCTTCATCACATTTGAAACCGCGGACAATCGTGATATTGAAGACGAGGACCATCATCACAATTCAAACCAGAGACCCATAATCACAATTGAAACCGAGGACGTTCATCACGTTTGAAACCGATGACCGCAGTCACAATTCAAGACGAGGACCATCGTCACATTTGAAGACGAGAACCATCGTGACAGTTGAACCCAAGGACCATCATCACAGTTGAAGACGAGAATCATCGTCACAATTGAATCGAAGGGCGCCAGATTTAAACCGAGGACCATCGTCAAGACGAGGGCCATTATCACAATTATTCCCGAGGACCATCGTCATCATTGAAGCCGAGGACCATCGTCAAGACGAGGGCCATCATCAATTATTCCCGAGGACCATCGTCATCATTGAAGCCGAGGACCATCGTCACAATTGAATCGAAGGGCACCAGATTGAAACCGAGGACCATCGTCGACATTGAAACTGAGGACCATCGTCACAATTGAAGACGAGGACCATCGTCACATTTGAAGCCTAGGACCATCGTCAAAATTCAAACCGGGAACCATCGTCACAATTGAAGACGAGAACCATCGTCATAATTGAAGACGAGGGCCATCGTCACAATTGAATCGAAGGGCACCAGATTGAAACCGATGACCATCGTCGACATTGAAACCGAGGACCATCGTCACAATTCAAGACGAGGGCCATCATCATAATTATTCCCAAGGACCATCGTCATAACTGAAGCCGAGGACCATCGTCACAATTGAAACGAAGGGCACCAGATTGAAACCGATGACCATCGTCGACATTGAAACCGAGGACCATCTCACAATTCAAGACGAGGGCCATCATCATAATTCTTCCCGAGGACCATCGTCATAACTGAAGCCGAGGACCATCGTCACAATTGAAACGAAGGGCACCAGATTGAAACCGAGGGCCATCGTCGACATTGAAACCGAGGACCATCGTCACAATTCAAGACGAGGACCATTGTCATATATATTTGCGAGGACCATCGTCATATTTCCAACGAAGGGCACCAGATTGAATCCGAGGACCATTATCACCAGTATATCCAAGGACCATCTTTACAGTTGAACTCAAGGACCGTCATCACAATTGAAGACGAGAACCATCATCACGATCGAAACCGAGGACCTTCATAACCATTTCAGAGGGCCATCGTGACATTTGAAGACGAGGACCATCATCACAATTCACACCGAGAACCGTCGTAACAATTGAAACGAAGGGCCCCATATTGAAACCGAGGACTATCATCACAATTGAAGACGAGAACCATCGTCACAATTGAAGCCGAGGACCATCGTCACAATTGAAGCCTAGGCCCATCGTCACAATTGTAACCGAGGACCATCGTTACAATTCATGCGAAGGGCACCAGATTCAAACCGAGGACCATCATCACCATAAAAACAGAGGACCACCGTCAGAATTGAAGACGAGGACCGCCGTCACACTTGAAGCCAAGCACCATCGTCACCATTGAAACCGAGGACCACCATCACCATTCAAGGCGAGGTGTATCGTGACAGTTGAAAACGAGGACAATGGTCACAACTGAAGACGAGGACCATCGTCACAAAAAATACCGCAGACAATCGTCACAAATATTTTCGAGGACCATCGTCACACTTCAAACCAAGGGCACCGGATTGAAACCGGGGACCATCCTC